AGTTGTTGATGTAAATATGGTAAACAGCGCGCTTTCATGAAAATGAGAGATCGCGTGGATTGTCATTTATGAAACAAAGGTATCATTTTCGAAAGTGTATTTTTTTATAATTTCATGACTGGTTTATGGGTTTCAAATCCGTGTCAATGGATTAAGCTTTGTTATGCGATCTCATTGCTGGTTGTACATAATGTCGCTGTACAACCTGGATCCGGCTATGCCACTAAGCCACTCCGTGCACATGGTCTCCTAGCGTATACCATAGACCTGGATGTATGATGTTAATACAGCACACCTAGCACACCTCTCTACCCCACAGAATAATTGTGAGTGAAGGTGGGGAGGGGGAGTCTACGCCCCTTTAGCAATACTCCAACCCTATAGGGCGGGGGACACAACGTTGTGTCCATGTGGGGAATAGAACCCTCGTGACGAGCCAATGATAGAACCACCAGGCTACCCCACAGTTACTATGAAGGTGACGCTTCAATACATCACACACACAAGGGTTGGGAGGACCTTCCGTGTTTATGTGTGGAGAGCAAGCGACGCTCATACGTGATAACCGCCTTATAAACTCGTTTAAAATTCATAAAATGTTCAGTTTGATCAAAGCTGATTACGTATTTTTATAGTTTATCATAACTACGGCGACAAGGAAATAAGATAACTGACTATGGACGCTGGTTTCCTTCTGAAAAAATTTCCCACTTCACGAAGTGCGATGTGTCAATGTTTGTGCTGTGTTAATGCGAACCAACGTGCGTGGTGTTTTTCTTTTGTGTGTGTGTGTGTGTGTGTGTGTGTGTGTGTGTGTGTGTGTGTGTGTGTGTGTGTGTATGTATGCGTGTATATATATATGTATGTGTGTGTATATATATATAATTTTATATATATATATATATATATTAGTATGTGTGTGTCTGTGCGTGCGTGCTTGCGTGCGTGCGTGCGTGCGTGTGTGTGTGTGTGTGTGTGTGTGTGTGTGTGTGTGTGTGTGTCTGTGTCCCTATGTACCATACCTACCTTACCCTACTCTAGTAATCATCCATTATACATGTAATTACATATCAACATCCGAGCGATTGTGTTATATGAAGAAGGGAACTTTGCGTTTTGTTTCATATTCAACCCAGAACAAGAAAGACGATAAAAAACAGAAACCTGTCAGTGAATACTCAATGTAATTCGTCACCTCGTTAATACGAAATGTGTTTCCCGTTTCACATGAACGGGCGTTCTAGTCTGATGCACTAGATTTCCGTGTCATTGCCCGAAATGTGTTCGAATCCCAGATTATGTTTCTAGGTTTGTGAGCACCATACCCGTCCTCGTGCTAACACTTGCATCACTTGGGCTCTCTTCCCACATCAAGTTGACATGCTGTCATATGACTGAAATACTGGACAAATCTAATTGCGATAGTCCAAATTCAGATAAACTACAGACAAAGATATTGTGTCGCTTGCATCACCCAGAGAGTGGCGCTTGTATCAGCACGGCCCACAACAACAAATGTAGAGCCTAGTTTGATGCTCACACTGGACACTTTACACTGCTGTCAAAAACATGTCCGAAATATTGTAGGCGTTGTTGTTTTCTTTTTATGAAGAAGCTCATGTCTATTTTCATATATATTCCTGCTGGTGAAGTATAAACCACATCGTATCTGCCTCGGTTGGTAAACGCGGGATGTTTAGGCTCTCTCACTCACTCACTCACTCACTCACTCACTCACTCACTCACTCACTCAACCACTCACTAAACCACTCATTCACTCACTCACTCAACCACTCACTCACTCACTCAACCACTCACTCACTCACTCAACCACTCACTCACTCAACCTCTCACTCAACCACTCATTCACTCACTCAACCACTCACCCGCTCACTCACTCAAACACTAACTCACTCATCCGCTCACTTACATTCACTCACTCAACCGCTCGACCATCCACTTACCTATATACTCAACCACTCACTCACTCACCCATTCACTCACTCACCCACTCTTTCACTCACCCACTCGCTCACTAATTACTGGATGCATGTTTACAGATGATGTCACCATGACATACGCATTACTAGTTGCATGATGTCCATGTGTGACAGCTATACTCGTACGCTATCTGTAAACATGCGAGAAGCGAGACTTTCAGTGTAGACCCCCAACATGGTGTGCGTCTATTTACATACCGAGGACGTACACAGTAACTACATGGCCAGTGGAATGTGTTAAATGATGGTGTGTGGGCTGTCTTAAATGTCAATGGAACACGGGAAGGTAGACACTGAGGGTCCAATCAATGTATCTTGGAGGGATATGTGGTCGATGTTCATGGATTATTTTGTTGCATTTATTGTTTTTTTATTCACGGCAAATTTATTTCACTCTTGTATTTCAACCCATTTCCAATGTTGGATCCCAACTTCCCCCACACCTCAGTGAAATGGCCGTCCCTGATTACCCTCCCCTAAATAAAATGGCCGTCCCTGATGCCCCTCCCTAAATAAAATGTCCGTCCCTCATTCCCCTACCTTAAATAAAATGTCCGTCCCTAATTCCCCTCCCCTAAATAAAATGTCCGTCCCTAATTCCCCTACCCTAAATAAAATGGCCGTCCCTAATTCCCCTCCCCTAAATAAAATGTCCGTCCCTCATTCCCCTACCCTAAATAAAATGGCCGTCCCTAATTCCCCTACCCTAAATAAAATGTCCGTCCCTCATTCCCCTCCCCTAAATAAAATTGCCGTCCCTAATTCCCCTCCCTTAAATAAAATGTCCGTCCCTAATTCCCCTCCCTTAAATAAAATGTCCGTCCCTCATTCCCCTCCCCTAAATAAAATTGCCGTGCCTAATTCCCCTCCCTTAAATAAAATGTCCGTCCCTAATTCCCCTCCCCTAAATAAAATGGCCGTCCCTGATGCCCCTCCCTAAATAAAATGTCCGTCCCTCATTCCCCTACCTTAAATAAAATGTCCGTCCCTAATTCCCCTCCCCTAAATAAAATGTCCGTCCCTAATTCCCCTACCCTAAATAAAATGGCCGTCCCTAATTCCCCTCCCCTAAATAAAATGTCCGTCCCTCATTCCCCTACCCTAAATAAAATGGCCGTCCCTAATTCCCCTACCCTAAATAAAATGTCCGTCCCTCATTCCCCTCCCCTAAATAAAATTGCCGTCCCTAATTCCCCTCCCTTAAATAAAATGTCCGTCCCTAATTCCCCTCCCTTAAATAAAATGTCCGTCCCTCATTCCCCTCCCCTAAATAAAATTGCCGTGCCTAATTCCCCTCCCTTAAATAAAATGTCCGTCCCTAATTCCCCTCCCCTAAATAAAAAGGCCGTCCCTAATGCCACACCCAAAAAATAAAAGGGCCGTCCCTAATGCCCTTCCCCATAATACAATAGCCAAACCCTAATGACCCACCCCTAAAATGACCGTCACTAATGGCATGCAAGTGACGTTATTGAAACCATGTGAGATAAAAAAAATACCCATGACATTGTCCCCATCTGCTTGGGACAATCTCCTTAAATTATACAATCCACTTCCAATTTGCAGCGTATTGTCATACAGCTCTAACGCTGTCGAGTTATGCAATGCGGGGATCAGCACTCTTCAAAGAGGAATTACAAAATAATTGCTTTATGAAGCAAATCTCCGCGAAGGATAGTCGTAGAGGAGTAACAATCAATATAGTGACGCCTGAGTTTTTGTTTTTAAAGAGATCCTTCTGCCCCTCAAGTGAAGAGGCGGAATTCATTCCAACAAAAATCTGTTGATGGATCCTGTCATCTTGGTTCATCCTGCGGGTCATCCAGTAGGTCATCCTGCCCCAGTCGAACTCTGCTGATTGCGATATTATGAATTCATCACACACGCTTCATGGCATTCACCATCATCGTGTGTCCAAATTTGAATTAGCATCAATTAGGGCCTATTTTCCAGCTCAAAAGCCCTTAATGTGGATACACATTCTAATGTTACACGCTCTATTCACACTTCTAACTTTTTTACTCACAAACAGGCGTTTTGGGCGATTGCTCACAGCCTCCTTTGAGTCACTTCTCAAGCCTGTTTATAAAGCCTTAACACGACAGTGTATTCGTTCGTGGGTAATTATACGTTAAACGTAGGTATCTGGGTTGTGTTGGTGGATGTTCTCGGGTTGTTCAGCTCCATTGCAGACAGGGAGGTGGGTGTGAGGGTGACGGGACCTGGGCAGGACGACTATCTGAAGGTCAAAACACAGGGCCACATCACAGCTTGTTGTTATTAGACGCCTCTGTGCTGGGCTGAATTGTGGATCGACACTGCTGAAGTGGGTCTTTGTTGTCGTAGATGTCATCCCTTGAAAGGCGGGATCCCTTGTCATGTCTAGACGTTGTGTTGACCTACTATCATTGTAGGGTACATGTCCTTCGACTACACTCTGGTTGTGTGTGTCGTCTTACGTATTAATATTACCTTTCTGTTGGTGGTGTGTGTTTGTGATAGATAATGTGTTGTCAGTAAGGATAGAGCTCTGTCTTGACTAATCGGGGGGACCTTTATATAGACACACATCGGGGTGTTTAGTACTTCTTTGAGTTAATCCTTCTTGTAAGAGGCGACTAAACTGGAGATCGGGTTATCAGAATATATGTTATATAGATATACCTGGATAGTAACCACTTGGATCGATGCTCACATTGTTGATCACCAGTTTGTCTCTTCTAGCACCAATTGCATGTCGTGCTAGTCTAAAAGCTGTCTACTATTGACACCACATGGTGATAATGGATATATAGAAACGGCTTTACTTTGAAAGTGACCACAGGCGCAGAACAGGTACAAATTATGGCATGATTTGGGGTCATCATGCCCTAATAAAGTGGACCAGCTCTCACACTATCAACCTCTCTCATCTGATACAATTGTGACTCATTAGTTCTTCCTGATGTGATGATAGAATATACGATTTCTGGGATAGTCATTGAAAATTTTCTGTTTCAGATTCCGATTCAGAACCGCAGCGCCCTCACACGCCGCCTTGGAAGTTCTGGCGGAAGTTGTCTACCCGCCATGTTGACCGGAAGCCACGTGACCGGAAGGATATCATTAAAGTGGAGTGGAGTACGTCAGCGAATGGCGATGGCGACGGTTTTGATGACTGCTTGACTCCACTGAACAGTACCCTGCCAGATGTGGTGGAGAAAACCGGCCTGTGTAGGAGCAACAGCCTGAAGCCGCCCCCTAAACCCCCTAGACTGTTTCTGTTTCGTTCAGCAAGTATTAACAACCCGCGTAGCTCACTAGACGGCGGTTCGGCTCGGAACTCAGTTGTCATGGCTCAGCCTAAGAGCACATCATCCGAATTTGATGGCAAGAATAAGAAGAATATCTGTGTTAAACAGGAGAACGGTAAGATTAAGCCTGTGATTGTGCCTGCTGATGACACGGAGAACAATAACATTAAGGATGATAGTGAGAGAAAGGATGTTCTCACGTCACTAGGCAACCACTCCCCAACACTGCAAAATTCTAGTCATAACAAAATGAAGATAGTCACTTCTGATTTGACGCCAAAGAAGCCAGTCAGATCAAGAAGAAAATCGAGCGAGAAAAATCAAGACGTGTCTCGACAGAAACTGATCATGCAAAGTATCCTGGACTTGTTGTGTCAGAAATTGGATCCCTTCCCACTGCTGAAGCAGCTCCACGAGTCCAATGTGCTCAGTGACAGTGACGTCTTGGCCTACAAGGGCCACCCTGACCGGAGACTGATATGTGAGAGTCTAGCCAATGCAGTGGGCGAGGGTTCTTATTCCCACTTCGTGTGTTTCTGTGATGTCTTGAGAAAGTCGGGGAACTATGTGGATATTGTACAGCTTCTTGACGTAATGAAGGAGGTGGACCAGCTAGTCCACGATATTCCCTGTCTCTCCGATGATGATAATCCAATTCTGGCGGATGAGAAAACGATATGTTTCGAGATCGGATACTATAACCCTGAAACGTTTGTTCTTAAGCCTGTTGTTGAACTAGAGAGAGCCCGAAATGACCATGGATTAAGCAAGAGGTTATCCAGGATCTCTACCACATCTTGGGACACTTCGAGTGAAGTGAGTAACGGAATTACCGACCAGTGTGATATCATGATGAATGTGTGTGTCACTGGGTACAGCTTAAGTGGAAACAGAGCTAAAGCCCTTGCTCGTGTTGTAGAAAAGTACAATTGCATCTTAGAGCTTCGTATAGGGAAGACCCAACTTTGTGGAGAAGACATTACGGTGTTGTCAAAGGCCCTGAGTCACAATACGGGCATCACATCTCTGGATGTTCGGCTAAATAACATAGATGCAGTTGGGGCATCCGCTTTGGCGGATACTCTGAAGGTTAACACATGTCTCCGTCAGGTGAATCTGTCCTCGACTGGTATAGAGCTCAGTGGGTGTCAGGTCATTGCTGGCGCTCTTACGAACAACAAAACTCTGGTAGAGATCGATATGAGCTTCCTGGATATTGGGGACAAGAGCTGTGAGTATTTCAGAGACATGTTAAAGACAAACTCAACGTTACAGAAGCTGAGACTAAGAAGCAATAACATCTCCTGGCCTGGTTGTTGCACCCTGATGGACGGGCTCAGTAGAAACAGGTGTCTTACTGAACTCGATCTCAGCCGCAACTATGTTGGGGACGCTGGAGTCGAGATCCTCAGTCGTTATATCCCCGAAAGTATGGTTACAGATCTTAGTCTGGAGAACTGTGGAATCACGTCAGATGGGTGTGGGTCTCTGGCTGAACTTCTTGCCATCAGTAAGAAGCTGAGGAGTATCGACCTGAGTGTCAACTTCATTTCGGATACTGGGGTGATGAAGCTGGCCTCGTGTTTGGAAAGGAGTTCCACTCTTCATCTTGTAGGGCTCAACATGTGTGGCATCACTAACGATGGCTTCTCCAAACTGCTAGACGTTCTGGAGAAAAATACATCCATCTCTCTCCTGAAGCTGTGCTACAACAGGCTGGGCAGGGAGCACAACAACCCTGCAGCTACGTCAGACAACTTAAGGTACAGACTCAGGATAGTCACATCGTCTAAACCTAAACTGAGGATCCTTCTTTGGGGAAACTCTTTTGAGGATTCCTGATCTGCTTCTCCTCGGGTCAGCTGGTAACCGAGAAACAACTGAACATTATAACCAGACAACATTTCGTGAATCTGACACATAGGGGCTTCTGGCATTAAGACTACCAACCCCAAGAATAGATACCGTTTGAAAATATAACAACTGTTCTATACCTGTGACGATCCTTTGAGAATTCTTGCTTTCGTTCAACTCTTCCATTTCAAGGTTCTCGATGAGGACGTATTTAGCGTTCCAAGTCAACGAAATCCAGGGTTTTATACTTACGTGTTCACGAAGACTGTGTGTGTATGGTGATAAGGATGTGTCTGCGGACTTTTTCACTCTGAGTTTGAACATGCTAGGTAAGAAGGCTGTACGACGACAGTATCTGGATTATGCATTCTTCGATTCCAAGAGGTTGTGGATATTTCGTCAGAATGTGGACCAACTTGTGTACATTCTCAACTTTCCACACAGGGCCGTTAACGTGGCAGCGAACCCTTCAGTGTTGTACCTGTCGTTGGTTTCCAGTGTAATCGTTCTCGTGATACTTATCTAACCTACTTGATAAAAACTCGGATAAGACATCATGGCCTGGCGTAGTGAAAATCCTTACAAGCACAAGTACCATGCCCCCCTCACTGAGTAATGGCCTGTTTGTTGTAGGTTCATTTCGTACAAAACGCAAACGTGAATTTTCCTGACAATATCTGTATACTATAAAATGAAATTATTTCAGTATTGTATTGCTGTATTCGGATTAATGATGTGTCTTTTGTGGATAGCCATGTCATATATGCAGACATTACATCACATACATTTTATATCAACTTTGCCAGTGTATGTCATGTCAGGACAACCAGAAGATGTGGTTATGTTTAAGCTTGATATTACTTCTACCCTTACTAGAAAACATATATGCAATTCATAGTCGTCATGTTTAAGCAGAACGCCGAAGATCGGGTTCCATTCCCATGCTTGGTTTCCTCCGTCGGGATACTGTTAAAAACGGCGTAAATCCTGCACTACTTGGGGTTAAGTGAGGTGGCCATGGGACCTCATTTGGTCGCAGTACACACCTCGTCGATGTCAGTCTGACATAGAGCTAGGCGTTGGATTCAGTCAGTTAGTTAATCTGCTTGTTGTTCTCTTGTCATCGGCTTAAAGGTCAGAACATATGTTAAGAATACAATGAGTTGTAGTGTTGTCATAGATATATGGGGCAGGGGTAGTGACGGAAATCATTGTGCCCAGTATCCGTGTTATGATGCATTTTTTTTATTTAAAATTAATAAACGTGAAAGACCTGCATCGATTCGGGTTTCCTCACATGAACCTGACACCCGTGATATGACTGAAAAGCTGTTCTGAGCGGTGTTAAACCCAAATCACTCACTCATACATATTTGAAGGACTCGCGTTCCCACATGAGGCATAAGTTGCTATCTGCCCCAGTAAAACATCCAGCACTCCAAATATGTTTATTATCCCGAATGGACATAAATAATTAACCCGATTTCAAATTCAATTTAAATGGTACTTCATATTTCACCACACGTAAGTAATTCATAAATCATTTTTGTACCATTTGTGACCATGTCTCGCATTAAATATCATTTGTAATTGTAATCTCAACATAAGTTTTAATGCATTCAACATTTGATCAGATGTGATTTGATGACAATCATGAATAAGGAAAGAAACGATGCATGGTCGTGGTCAGTACCGTATTCCCGCGCTTAAACGACGGGCCTTCGTAAAACGCCGGGCGCACGTGTTTTTATGCACGGACTTCTCCATTTGTTATCTTTGCGATTAAACGGCGGGGGCAAAAAGTGTCTGAAAGATATATACACCCGGGCATTTAATCGAGGAAATACGGAATTTTGTACCAAATACACTTTGATCTCGCGAGTCCAAGGAAAAGTTTCCACGCCTTAATCTTACAGATACATTAAGTGCACATCGATTTTGAGTACATTCCTAAAAGATATTGTGTTATTTTTGCCACTTTTCTCTGCTCCCGTAATGCAGTAGATTTACCTGGAAATGACCGATGTTCTAATATTACATGTCAACGCCAGAGAAAACCCCCAGTTTCGATTACCCACGAAACGATTCGAATTGACGTAAAAGCCGAAATAGTGGTGAAAATTAGGTGAACGGATCACTGACACCAGACGTAAGAAGGTCCTCCCCTACGAGTAGCACCCTCCACTCCCACAGTTTGCATAGAAATTAACTGTTTGTTTGTTGTCTGACGGCGCACAGCATGCCCCCTCTCACGTGGCTTACAAACAAACCAGACAATCAAGTGATGGAAACCGGTTGTTATTTTGGCAAGACAACTGCCACACCGTGACATAACAAATAACTGTTTTACTGAAATTGGGCACAACTCAATGTTATCTCAATATGAACAAATATAATTGTCATTGAGCTTAGACATGTAGAAGCTTCAGCGTAGGTCAGAGATTTATCGGAATCCGTTGATTGTAGTTTTCTTCGTATGAGTCTTGTTCGCCAACATAGAGGGTTTGCCTGTTTACCCACGTGTGTCAGGCGTTTCCATGGTGATCTTGACATTTCCAACTGAAATGGCTTCACGTGCAAATACTGTACTAACACAGGTGTCCACTAAAACGCTAGACTTCAAGAGTAACGTTTCAAGTTAAGAGCGATTTAGAGTCCCCTCATCTGGATGTCGTGATCTCGTAATTGAAGAAAATCTACATACCCAGAAGTCCGATATGAGACATGTGACACAAACAGACCCAGTCTGCGAGAAGACAAATATCTGAGACGCAATATTCAATTTGTTTCATGTTTAAATTCAGTTTAAGAGATTTTGGTTGTAGTGTCTCAAATTGGTGAAATGCTACTAACGCTCTGAAAAAGTTCACACTAGGCATCTTGTAATAAAGAAGTTAACCCACGTCTGCACGAAGAAGCAATTACATTTTTTTTCAAGATACTCTAAATCGTAGTTGTTGTGAACGCCCTGGTAAACAGACGGAGAACTGCCTTCTTACTGCTTCCCTTATTCAGGAAATTACTGAATGAATGACATTTCGCCAAGCCCCCGTAAAGGTCACTGCCCCGGTGCGTGTAAGGTGCATTCCATGCCTAGTCAGACCTTAATTTGGAAGCGCACCAGAAACAGAGACTCAAGACGCGACAATCAATATATCATATACAACAGCATAGGACCATCACAGATTTGGATGTTTAGAATACAAGATGGAATTCTGTCACCCTTGAACACGCACTTCGACGTTAGCTTGCTTTCGTTCGCATTTCAGGTTTCCTACCCAAAAATATTAAAGACTGCCCTGGTCTTGGAATGGCCATTCGGTTTAAAAGAATCTGTCTCACCATCGATGTGCTTTGGGGGTCGGGGATGGGGTCGGGGTGGTAGGAGCAGTGTTGCGTCCATTGGGCACACCAGAATTATGTTTCTGGGGTTGTCAGCACCATACCCGTGCTCGTGGGTTTCACCGAAGTGGTAAACGTCTGAGACCTGCATCATTCTCACATTAAGCTGACACGCCGTGATATAACTGTAATACTGTTAAAAGCGGCGTTAAACCCAACTCACTCACTCACTCGACTTTCTTTGGGACAACGACTGTTATATCCACTGAAACCCTGTTAACTCGAAGGCTATATACCGAGTTATTTCCCTTCGAGCGAAATGCAGATATTAAACTATAGTGATAAGTCCACCACAAGCTTCGTTTTATACGAGATATCGGAGGTTGACTTGACGTTTCACTGTAGTTGACTTTGGACCCAGTCAAGGCAGAATACGTGTACATGCATGTGTTGTATGCAGGCTTATGTCAATTTGACCTGTACGCCTGGAAGTATACCTATTGTAACATATTATTCAACATTGATAGGGATAGTCAGGGGAGTGGCTGATTACTTGGAAGTGCTGTCATACCAACACTGTTCAAGTGTGTGTTGGGAATGGCATCGTTACGGTTTAGGGGGCACGTGTGCCCCAGTCGTCTAAGGCGCCGCGAATCGCTATGTAGAGTTGCGTCCCTTGGGCACGCCAGAAACCTATGATTGTAGGTTCGAATCCCGGTTCGCCCCGATTATGTTTCTAGGTTTGTCAGCACCATACCCGTGCTCGTGGGATTCACCGAAGTGGTAAACGTCTGAGACCTGCATCACTTCGGGCTTTCCTCCCACATTAAGCTGACACGCCGTGATATAACTGTAATACTGTTAAAAGCGGCGTTGAACCAACTCACTCACTCGTTATGATTTAGAAGAACCATATGTGGGGGCACGGGGGCCCATTCGTTTAAGGCACTCCAATGAGGGGCGAATTGCGTCCCTTCCACGTCCCAAAAATCTATGATCGTGGGTTCACATCCAGGGTTGACCCGATTATGTTTCTAGGTTTGTCGGCACCATACCCTTGCTCGTGGGTTTGGCCTTAGTGGGTTTGACCAATGTGGGTTTGACCAAACGTCTGAGAGCTGCATCACGTCCGGCTTCCATCCCATATTAAACTGACACGCTGTGACATAACTGGTATACTGTTCAAAGCGGTGTGAAACCCGACTCACAAAATAGAAGTAAAAACCCAAAGTACACATTCCCACTGCCCTCTTGTTCCCTGACAATATGCAATAGCTCTGTTGCCTATCTCGTTTTGAGTTGTTTTCCAAGTATGTATCAAACGCTAAGTGTAGAATCCTTTTCGGTCACCAAAGCTAGCTGTTTACTCCAGTATTCACTACCCAGTTGAAATGTCTGTACCGGTTGAACTAGCTTATATCATTTCTAGTCAACTCAGTCCATTCTGACAAATCTTTCATTGAATAATTTTAATTATAGAACAGTATTAGGGACCAACCATTTGGTAATCTGGGTTGAGGTCCACATATATTTTGGAACCAAATAATTTCAAATTGACATATTTAAAAAAAAAAATTTAGATTTTTTTTGTCAGTATTTCATAATAAAAAGCGTTCGCTGGACATGTACATCCTTAAAAAAAATGTGGAAAAAATGGCTCATCCTTTAGAGAATAAACTGGTCGGTCCCTTGGCGTCGTTGCCATTTACTAATGTATGCTTACCTCTTTTTATTGAACTTTAAGACATTCTGTAGTCGTCAATATGTTATCTATCAGTATAATGTATAGATCATTACTTGATGTTATTATTAAGAAGTAAGTACATAGTATTACAGCATTGTATATTGCAATGTGACGCAAACTATTCATTTCAATTAAACATGTGGTAAAAGCAAGAACGCCGACTCGTTCTGTGTTCAATGATCGATCAACAACTTTAAGTCGATTACGAAAAAATACTTTTATTCTTGCGCTATCTCGTTCAAAATTTGCAATTGTAAACAGTAGTATGTAGTTGTGTGTACATGGTGACGAATTTTGACTTTAGATATGCCTGTATACACCTTTAAGCTTTGTGAATTCCACATGTATGTGATACAACCCCCATTTGTTATCGCTATCGTTATTGTTGTATTAAGTTGTACTGACGCTTGTATGCTTAACGTCGGCATACTGACGTCACAAGTAGGTTGTATATTTTGTATTTATACTCTCCTCTACGAATGGTTCTGTACATGTATACATGTATTGTCCGGCACACTGTCCGGGGTTCGAACCCGAACTCTCCTATGCAGGTGCATGCATAATGGTACTTCGCTACCTCTACTTCCCTGTTCTCGATGCATGTTTATATGATCTACTGAAGTCATGTGGGAAGACCTTTCACATTTACTGTATGTGTACACGAGTCAAATAAACAGACGTTCAAATAAACTTGTGTTGTGTGTATCATATCCAAAAACGGTTACGCCATTTTCTGCGATATTTCAACAGTCCTTATGTCGTTAGAAACGACATTGGTTGGGGTATGTTTGATTGAATCGAGTAACTTGTTTGTGTGAACAATATACATCGAGTACGAATTAACACCAGCTCAGCCAGGCAACTGTTGAATGTTAGTTTTAATGCAATCTTTTATTCAAGTAGACACACTATTTAGATGCAATGCAGTGGAACAAGCTGTTCCTGAAGCAATCTAATGCCTTGAACAGTGGTCAGTGTACAGAACAGACGTCAGTGTACAGAACAGTGGTCAGTGTACAGGACAGTGGTCAGTGTACAGGACAGTGGTCAGTGTACAGAACAGTGGTCAGTGTACAGGACAGTGGTCAGTGTACAGAACAGTGGTCAGTGTACAGGACAGTGGTCAGTGTACAGGACTGGTCAGTGTACAGGACAGTGGTCAGTGTACAGAACAGTGGTCAATGTACAGAACAGTGGTCAGTGTACAGAACAGTGGTCAGTGTACAGGACAGTGGTCAGTGTACAGAACAGTGGTCAGTGTACAGGACAGTGGTCAGTGTACAGAACAGTGGTCAGTGTACAGAACAGTGGTCAGTGTACAGAACAGTGGTCAGTGTACAGAACAGTGGTCAGTGTACAGAACAGTGGTCAGTGTACAGGACAGTGGTCAGTGTACAGAACAGTGGTCAGTGTACAGAACAGTGGTCAGTGTACAGAACAGTGGTCAGTGTACAGAACAGTGTACATGACAGTGGTCAGTGTACAGAAGATGTGAACCCTCGCAAAGGTGATATGATAATGTCCAGGCAATATCGGTCTTCAGTAGCCAACGTTTGTCTCCCCAAGGGGACACCGAGACAATAAGGAACTCTAGTACCCCATGCATATCTCTAAAGGGGTAACCTACCCAAAAAGGGTCCCTAGTACCCAATACCTGTCTCCCAAAGGGGACACAGTCCCAAGAAGGGTCTACACCATACACCATGCATATCCCCAAGGCGTAACCGACCCACGAGGGGTCCCTAGTACCGCATACATATCCCCATAGGGGACATCGACCCAAGAACGGTCTCTAGTACACCATGCATATCCCCATAGGAGGACACCGACCCAAGAAGGGTCTCTAGTAGACCATGCATATCCCCATAGGGGGACACCGACCCAAGAAGGGTCCCCAGTACCCCATACATATCCCCATCAGGTGACACCGACCCCAGAAGGGTCTCTAGTATACCATGCATATCCCCAAGGGGTAACCTACCCAAGAAGGGTCCCTAGTACATAATGCATATCCCCAAAGAAAACACCGACCCAAGAAATGTCCCTAGTACCCAATACCTGCCTCCCAAATGGGACACCGATCCAAAAAGGGTCCCCAGTAACTCATGCATATTCCCTATAGGATGCCGAGACGAAAAGGTCCCCTCGTACTCCATGCATGTCCCATCAAGGGAACACCGAGACTAGAAGGGTCCCTAGTACCCCATACATATCCCCAAAGGGGATACCAACCCAAGAAGGGTCTCTTGTACACCATGCATATCCCCAAGGGGTAACCTACCCAAGAAGGGTCACTAGTACCCAATACCTGTCTCCAAAAGGGGACACCGACCCAAGAAGAGTCTCTAGTACACCATGCATTTCTCTCCGTGTCTGTGGTGCTTGACAATGCTGAGGAATCTCTCCGTGTCTGTGGTGCTTGACAATGCTGAGGAATCTCTCCGTGTCTGTGGTGCTTGACAGGTACTGAGGAATCTCTCCGTGTCTGTGGTGCATGACAGGTGCTGAGGAATCTCTCCGTGTCTGTGGTGCTTGACAGGTACTGAGGAATCTCTCCGTGTCTGTGGTGCTTGACAGGTACTGAGGAATCTCTCCGTGTCTGTGGTGCTAAACAAGTGCTGAGGAATCTCTCCGTGTCTGTGGTGCTTGACAGGTACTGAGGAATCTCTCCGTGTCTGTGGTGCTAAACAAGTGCTTAGGAATCTCTCCGTGTCTGTGGTGCTAAACAAGTGCTGAGGAATCTCTCCGTGTCTCTGGTGCTTGACAGGTGCTGAGGAATCTCTCCGTGTCTGTGGTGCTTGACAGGTGCTGAGGAATCTCTCCGAGTCTGTGCTGCTCAACAAGTGCTGAGAAATCTCTATAAACCAGTGGTTCCTTTTGCCAGAAGATCTCAGCTGTACTACTACCTCTACATATTTTTATAACATCATGAATACCGTTTTCTTGACCGTTCTCACCCTTCTCCCTGAACGTGAAGGAATGAAGGAATGGGTATCCATTGACTAACTATAGAATGTTACGTAGCAGTGCACAGCTTAATGTGGAAATACACTGATATCCCTAAATGTAAAATAATATGCTTGAATTCCGACTGCATTGACTAAGCACAGTCTACACAGTAATCGACAGGGGCACAGCATTCAGAACCTTATAAAACCGTCAAAAAAATTATAAAGAAACCAAACGCAAAAAAGTGTTTGTAACCAATCACACTGTTTAAGAGAGACTCGGTGATTTATCTGCTTTGCTAATCCCTACACTGTCAGAGGCTATGGAACTATTTTATCATCGCATCAATTTTCTCGTTATTTCATTGATCGCTGATACCATAACGAGGAGTTAGCTGGTATCGCGTCTGCGGCCCAACCGTTGGACTCGTAATTCAGGAATAATTCTAGTGTTTCTGGCTATTACATTGCTTCACAGTCAGAGCGAAATTGACCACTGACGACGAGCAAACACGTTGTTAAGTGCACCACTTGATGTTGATAGCGTCTTAATGTTTCCGTGTCTTGGCGTACAGGGTTGATGGCGGCTGATACGATCCAGGGTTGACAGCGGCAAGGATCATGTGCGTGCAAGTGTTGATGTCAAATTTATTATGTCTCAGTTATGTGGGTTTTAATGTATTTCATGTACTCAACAATGTACTGTACAATGTAGCAACATTTACACACAGCGCACACTCTCCATAAGTGCACACCAACTACACAGTGCACACACACTACACAGAACACACACACACACACACACACACACACACACACACACACACACACACACACACACACACACACACACACACACACACACACACACACACACACAATGCACACACTACACAGAAACAGAACATACATGTTGCAAAATACACACACACATACATTACAGTTTACACCCAAATGAAAGCGAAAACACCCGTTCCATTTTCATAAGAAATCGATTGTACCATTCCGACTATATCACGTGCTTGCACACGCACACGCACACGCACACGCACACACACATTTCAAACACTTCTCAAAACACACTACACAGCAAACACAAAATGCGAACACACACATACACTTACACACTACACAATGCACCAACTATATTATGCACACAGTAAACACACAATGCACACACTACACAGTACGCAAATACTACACACACAGTGCACATACTACACAGTATGCAAATACTACACACACAGTGCACACACTCCACAGTACGCAAATACTACACACACAATGCACACACTACACAGTACGCAAATACTACACACACAGTGCACACACTCCACAGTACGCAAATACTACATACGCTACACAGTACAAATACCACATACGCTACACAGTACGCAAATACTACATACGCAACACAGTACGCAAATACTACTTTCGCTGGACAGTACGCAAATGATACATACGCTACACAGTACGCAAATAATACACACACATTGCTCAAGCTACACAGCCCACGCCCAGTACACACAAAACGCAAATACTACAATCTACTAAATATCTAACAAACACAGTACACACGCTTTACAGTACGCAAATACTACATACGCTACACAGTACGCAAATACTACATACGCTACACAGTACGCAAATACTACATACGCTACACAGTACGCAAATACTACACACACAGTGTACACACTCCACAGTATGCAAATACTACATACGCTACACAGTACGCAAATACAATGTACTTCATACGCTACACAGTATGCAAATGCTACATACGCTACACAGTACGCAAATACTACATATGCTACACAGTACGCAAATACTACATACGCTACACAGTACGCAAATACTACATACGCTACACAGTACGCAAATACTACATACGCTACATAGTACGAAAATACTGCATACGTTACACAGTACGCAAATACTACATACGCTACACAGTATGCAAATACTACATACGCTACACAGTATGCAAATACTACATACGCTACACAGTACGCAAATACTACATACTTTATACAGTATGCAAATACTACATACGCTACACAGTATGCAAATACTACATACGCTACACAGTACGCAAATACTACATACTTTATACAGTATGCAAATACTACATACGCTACACAGTACGCAAATACTACATACACTACACAGTATGCAAATACTACATACGCTACACAGTATGCAAATACTACATACGCTACACAATATGCAAATACTACATACGCTACACAGTACGCAAATACTACATACGCTACACAGTACGCAAATACTACATACGCTACATAGTACGAAAATACTGCATACGTTACACAGTACGCAAATACTACATACGCTACACAGTATGCAAATACTACATACGCTACACAGTATGCAAATACTACATACGCTACACAGTACGCAAATACTACATACTTTATACAGTATGCAAATACTACATACGCTACACAGTATGCAAATACTACATACGCTACACAGTACGCAAATACTACATACTTTATACAGTATGCAAATACTACATACGCTACACAGTACGCAAATACTACATACACTACACAGTATGCAAATACTACATACGCTACACAGTATGCAAATACTACATACGCTACACAATATGCAAATACTACATACGCTACACAGTATGCAAATACTACATACGCTACACAGTACGCAAATACTACATACGCTACACAGCATACAAATACTACATACGCTACACAGTAC